ATAATATTTAAATGAATAATTTCACTTTTGCCTCACGAACTGACTTTATAAAAAGAATTTTATCAAGTAAAAACTATTTTTCATTGCAAATGCTTTAAAACTAGCGTTTTACAAGAAATTGTAGATTTGTTAATCAGTTTTACAATTCTCTGTAAAATTGTAAATCAATCTTACAAGTTTTTGTAAACTTGTAAACCAATTTTACAGGGAATTGTAAACTTGTAAATCAGATTTACAGGTACCTGTAAAATTGTGAGTCAATTTTACAATTTACAAGTTTACAATTATTGTAGCTGTAACGGGCCCCTGCTGTTGAACAGATCTGTTCACCAGCAGCAAATATATATGCAGCAGCTTCAATGCTCTGATTAAATTTCACTTTGTCTATTCCGATTAAAAGCAACAAAATGATGAAACACAGACACAATTTCGGTTATATATATAAAAATCCATCAAAATAGCCTTAACATACACAATGCGAATCGGGAAGATATATTTTAGTTCAATAAATGTGAATGTACAAATGATTGGTGTTTTTTGTATTCCATTGGGAAGTGAATGTTATGTTCCCATTTGAAAAAGAAACAAAATGCTTATAATTATTCTGAGTGAAACATATATGAAATGAGCTACGGATCATTTGTCTAACCATTATTATGCATACAGTACCAGTAATTGAATCTGTTGTTCGCACGAGACACAATCTTACGATTGCTAATGAAATGAATGACTGATGCGAATCCTATTCCGTTAAAAATAAAATCCTAAATATATTTTGCATGTAAATGTTTGTACATTAATAGCCATTCAACACATCGTTTCTTTGGTTGTATCCAAATTTTGCGAACGTTATCACAATGGAATTGGCCTTGGTAATCATTTGAATCTATGGTGACGATGACTATCCATATTTTGTCATTTCGAGCCGGCTTTATTGAGTGGAGTGGTATTGCATGTGTAAAATTTAGCATTTATCGAAACAGAATCAGAAACAAAATCCCTTCACTCTTTGATTACACAAATTTTGAATTTTTGAAATTCGTGAACAAGCACCTCGATCTTCATCATTCATCAAGACGAGCGACAGAAAGGCATAGTTTTGTACCGAAGCACCATCAAAGCTCTCGAAAACGATTCAACATGAAACATAAAATATCGAGCAACATGACTGATAATCGTTGACACAATGGGAACAGATTCCGAAAATAAACAAGTAATGAAAAGATAAATACACACACATTTCTATGCATTTAAACATTTAATACAACCAGAGTGCTCTGTAACAGCGGGGGAGAACAATGCAAAGACACACACACACATCAAGTGAATAAATACGATGAGCGCATATAATACAGCATTTGTATGTTCACCTTTTACGACATTGACACGAAGCCAAAGTAAACAAATTAATGAAACCAATTCACTGGGAAATGTGTGCTGTATACAGTTCGAATTCGTAATCAATTGTTGTTTTGTTTGCTTTGTGATCAATTCACCGTTCTCGTTTTTATGTGGTTTATTTTCTCTCTCTCTCTCTCTCTCTCTCTCTCTCTTCATATTTTTCGTTCTCTGTTAATCAGAATATAATCTGAATACAAGTCGACAAGCATAACAAAGCCGAGCTCTATATTGAGTCTATAAGTCAAGCCGTGCGCTATTGTTGTTGTTATATCATGGTCTAGTCGGTCTCTTGTTGTGTAAAAATACACAATTAGAATCAAATGTATGAACAGGACAATTGCGAAAATTCAAGTCACTGAAATTTACCGAAGCGACAACTTAATCCTCCCAGACAATTTATGGATACGCTTTCGATACTCCCAAAATTTATCGCTTTACATGAGCTTTGCTAATAAATTAAATCAATCACTCGTAACCTTTTTTCTCTCTTTCTACCCTTCTACTCAGAATGTAATTAGCGTTTATAGCCGTTTTTTTTCTCTCTCCTCATCAATTGACATTCATTATCAACGATCGGGCGCTCTACGTCTATTGAACCATTCCGAATGCGAGTCTTTAATCAATAAAAACTTGTGTCACAATGGTATACCATATACATACACTACGTAATTCGTCATCGTATCAAGAACATACATGAAAAATTGACTCGATCTAATTGACTAACAACTTAAAAGCTCAATACATTTCAAGTCAAATACACAAATTTCACAATATTTCCAATATACAACAATGACAGTGAATCGCTTATGGCATATGCCCTTGACATAGAAGTAAAACTGCTATTTTCGGCATGGCAAAATAGTTGAAGTCACCATTTCGTGGACAAGTCCCGTTAAATATGAATGAGCAATTTTACGACAAACGTTTCATGTCATAGAATACTTTTCATGTGTTTTATCAAAAAAAAAAAAAATATATATATATACTGTAGACTGGTCCAAAAAAAAAGTTGAGATATTGAAGCTCCCCGATCGGTTTTCGAAAATTGGCCTCAAAAAAATAGGTTTGGCATCAAAAAATCGAAAATTCATGAAATTTTTGAGTAAGGTAGTTTCGGAAATCATTTTAGATTGCAACTTTTCGACCTAAATCATTTTTCCAGCCAATTTTCGGCAAAAACTGTTGATGCGGTTTTATTTGGCTCGTCAATATCTATAACTTTTACCGAGACATCAGCCATTGAAAAGGCATTCTGGGCCAGTTACAGTGTAAAGTGACCGAAAAATGGCAAATTTTCGGCATTTTTCGCATTTTCTGCTCTACTGGTCACCCAGGCGGTAAACTTTTGTTCAGCTTTTGACTTGTGTCGTGTAGCTAGAACCTGTACAAAAATATTGATACTTCTCAGATTACGATTTGGATGGTATTTGGCGACAATTGATTCACACATATAAGACAAATTTCAGGCCAAAATGAGCAAATCACAAACATGAGCTTCGGTTTGACAGGTAAAAACAAATGATTTCTACCTTTTCTGCCTTTGAACATCTAGTATGGTCCTTTACGAACATTTTGGGTACCTACATGACCAAATCGAGTGATGTTTTCACATATTTCTGGCCTCATATTCGTTTTTAACTCCCAAAAAATCGATTTTTGACCAAAAAATCCTTAAACATAGGCTTTTCAGGGATGGTGTCTTGGTGCAATGTTAGTTTTTCTCGAAAATATGGGGAGTCTACCCAGACAAAATCTCTCAAAATTGACTTTTTAAAGTATCTCCCGAATAAAATATACGTTTTTCATGGATTTTACTATAAAAATATCAATTTTTGTTGGGAAGATACCCCAAAAATCATTCATAAGAGATTCTGTGTGAGTAGATTCCCAATATTTCTCGAAAAAAATAACTTTGTACTAAGAAACTTATCCAAAAAGTGTATTTTTGGGGTACCTTCCGAACAAAAATTGATTATTTCATAGTAAAATCCATGAAAAACGTATATTTTGTTGGGGAGGTACCTTAAAAATTCAATTTTGAGAGTTTTTGTCTGGAACGAATCCCCATATTTTCAAGAAAAAATAACATTGCACTAAGACACCATCCCTGAAAAGCCTATACTTAAGGATTTTTTGGTCAAAAGTCGATTTTTTGGGAGTTGAAATCGAATATGAAGCCAGAAATATGTGAAAACATCACTCGATTTGGTCATGTAGGTACCCAAAATGTTCGTAAAGGACCATACTAGATGTTCAAAGGCAGAAAAGGTAGAAATCATTTGCTTTTACCTGTCAAACCGAAGCTCATGTTTGTGATTTGCTCATTTTGGCCAGAAATTTGTCTTATATGTGTGAATCAATTGTCGCCAAATTCCATCCAAATCGCAATCTGATAAGTACCAAAATTTTTGTACAGGTTCTAGCTACACGACACAAGTCAAAAACTGAACAAAAGTTTACCGCCTGGGTGACCAGTAGAGCAGAAAATGCGAAAAATGCCGAAAATTTGCCATTTTTCGGTCACTTTACACTGTAACTGGCCCAGAATGCCTTTTCAATGGCTGATGTCTCGGTAAAAGTTATAGATATTGACGAGCCAAATAAAACCCCATCACTGGTTTTGGCCGAAAATTGGCTGGAAAAATGATTTAGGTCGAAAAGTTGCAATCTAAAATGATTTCCGAAACTACCTTACTCAAAAATTTCATGAATTTTGAGAAAGTGGTTTCATTTCTACGTTTTTCGATTTTTTGATGTCAAACCTATTTTTTTTAGGCCAATTTTCGAAAATCGATCGGGGAGCTTGAATATCTCAACTTTATTTTTTGGACCAGTCTATATACTGTATATTATGTAATCTGTATATCTTTGAGTTGCTTTAATACATATTCATCTTTGTTTGCATGATATGTTGCAGGCAAGTCATGATATTTATTTTCCATTACAGTG